CCTTAACGCGAGGAAGTGGTCTGACCCAACGACTATTTCGAAAAAAGGAGGTATTCATACCTTTATCAGCCCCCGAGTGAGATCCGACCCCTTGCGGTTGCTGGGGCTAGATGTTACTAGAGATCAAAGCGAGGGTAGCGAACTTACTCTTGTATTCGCACGTACCCCTTACTTAGGATTTTGGCGATCGTTCCACGACTGTGCGTTTGGTCTCATTGCTGGCCTGGCCTTCCCTGAGCCCCTGCACATGACGGGGATTCGATCAAGGGTCGGCTCATTTTGTGACTGTCGCCCCGTCCGGGGTATCCGCAACTAGAGGGATTGAGGCGATGTCACTTGCCTCGATGGCTTGAGTGACGTGCATGATGAGCTCGCTAACGGGGATGTTCGAATGGAATTCGATCCTGTTGCTTTGCGATAGGGTCGGCAAAGCCCTCGGGTGGTGTTCCATTGCTCCTTGACCTGCCTTCCAACATATTTCCCCTCAATGGGGATTCTATGGGCTTGGCTAAAGGCTAGATTGAACTAGAAGGTTGAGATGACCCTATCCGCCTTAATGTGGGTTTGGGCAAAGGCCGCTAAGGCTCATCTGTGTTTTCTCCCCTAGCTCTTGTTTGATGTGAGGCGGCCTCGGACCCTTCACGGGTCAACCTTCGAACCTCGATCTCTCGATCTTGGATCGAGCGGCTCGAGCCCCAGAGCCCCTTAGGGTCTGATAGGGGTCAGCCGTGTTTCGCGCATCACCCCATCCTCGGTTTTCGTAACTGGAGGGGCTGAGTTGATGACACTTGCCTCGACGGCTCGAGTGTCGCGCTCAATGAGCTCGCTAATGGGTATGTTCGTGTGGAATCCGGGTCCATCATTCGCTGACGGGGTCGGCAGAGCCCTCATGTGGAATTTCACTACTTCTTAACCCGCCTCCCGGTAGATGCCCGAGCCGTTCGTAGGCTTAGGTGGCCCATTGGCCTCTCCTCGACGGAGATTCTATGGGTTTGGCTCGAGGTTAGAATCGAACGAGAAAGGTCGGGATGTCCCTATCCGCTTTTGAGCGGGGTTGGGCAAGGCCACTAGGGCTCATCTCGGTTTTTCTCCCCTGGCTTTGTTTGACGCGAGGCGGCCTCGAGCCCTTCGTGGGCCAGCATTCAAACCTCGATCAGTTGTCGCTCATATCGAATGAGGCGACTGCCGCTTCGTGGCGCGACATGAAGCGTAGAGATGCAGCGATTGCATATGCAACATTTTGGATTTATGGGATTAATGTACAATTTAATTAAAACAAAAGCGGGGGTCGATAATGTTACCTTGGTGGCATGAGCGACGAGAAGCTCTTACCGAACATGTCCGTGCGGGGTTCGGGTTCGATGTTTGCGATGGGGCTAGCGTGACCTGCACGAGCATCGCAATTTTTTGTTTCTGTGTCTCGGCGGCGTTCCTAGCCGTTCGATCGATTTTAGGCGACCTGATAGCTTTTCCTTGAAGGAGATTCTGTAGGCGGACCCCTTCGAACCCTTCTTGAGAAGGCGAATGCTAAAGCTTGGGGTACGGGGAACTGTGAATTCGATTATGCTGGTGAACAAAAACACCGTAGCCGCCGGGGCGTAGGATCTAGCGGTTCATCTAGTTTTACTCAAAGTTTTACACCCGCACACCATGTCTCCAATTTTAAACATAAGGAGGGGACAGACGAAGAGGATGTCTAAACAGGTAGACACTCGCCAGCCCCCGAGCGATGTCCGTGCCCCTACCGTTGCTGGGGTCGGAAGCTTGGTAATGAAATTAGCACGAAGAGTAAGTAAACAGATGTGCTTATCTTTCGGCAGCCGTTCGTTCGTCGTTTTACCTGGGCCATCCGATCGACCCAGGAGGCCCGTTGGTCCCTCCTTGACGGTGGTTCCATCGTCAGGTCATTCCGTGGTCCTGCCTGGGGAAGCGGAGAGTCGCCTGCATACGAGTGCGCCCTGATTCTCATGCCCGGTGTGCGGTAGTGGTGGGCCATGCCCAGGCAACGTCCTGTTTGACTAGGCGATGTCTCGTCGACCAGAGTGCGTCCCGTCGGTCCAGACGCGTCCCTCGGATTCCCGTGAGCATCGATTTCCCATCTGCATTGAATAGGGGAAGGAAGAGAGTTTTTCGTCCCAACCTTTCACCTTTCCTCAGCTGCTGCGCCCCTTCCTTAAATAGGGAGGGGGAGGGGAGCTCTTGTCCCATTCCTTCGCCTGTTCCTGAGCCGCTACCTCTCCTCCTTTCTCCTTCTCGCCGAGCGCGTTCGTATGTCACGGCGATTCCTAAGTGAGAGAGGGTAATGCGATGGAGAGGAGAACTCACAGATCTGTTCGTGAGTTCGGAGTGCGATGTCGAGCTGGAGGTCATCCAACGTAGATGAGATGGTGCTGGCCGCCTTTGTCGAGAAGGGGCCACTGCTGCCGAAGGAGGAGGCACACTGGAGGGTACTGAGCGTTGTCGGCTTTGCCGTCGTCCGCGAGGCCTTTATCGGGATGGAGCCGTACGGGAAGCCCTTCTAGCGAATCTTCTCCAGGTGAGCCTTGTTGGTGGGGAGGCCACCCAAGACTACGTCGATGCGGGGTTTCGCCCTTGCAGCCGCTCAGATCGGCCAGTTCATGAAGCCCGATGAGATGTCAGAGACATCCATCGGCTATGGCGGCCTTTCTTTGGCAGGGAGCGCCCCCATCCAGGTGCTATTGTTAGGGTTGCGGCTGATCACGATGGCATAGTCCCTGGATGCCCTGGCAAAGGCACCACAGTCGCCAATGTGGTGCTCGACGTTGCAGATGATGGCGCCCTCGAGGATCCCGTGGAGCGGTAGGACGTCGCCGATGGAGAGCGTGGCGCGGCGACCGTAGTAGTTCAAAATGGCAACGGGTACCCGACGGGTTTTACCCGATAAGGAGGCGGGTATGGAAGACATTTTGCACCCGCGGGTACGTTATTGGACGAATTCTTGTACCCATCGGGTATGCGGGTACGGGTGTGGGTGTATACTACCCATACCCGCATACTCGCGGGTAAAAAAAACCCGCATAAATAATATCTAACATCTGCAATTTTAGCCCATATAAGCATATAGCCCATATTTGGCCCATATAAGCATATGAGTATATATATTCCAGAACTCCCTGAAACCCTAATCCCCATATAAGCATATTTGGAATGAACCAATGAGGCATCTGATCTATTTCAACTAGCTTGACCTGGATATATTTCTGTTTTGCTGCTCTATTGTTGATTTGTTTTGCTGGAAGCTATTATATTTTGGTGTGTGAACTCGGGTATATTGTTGGGTGCGGGTTACCCGTCGGGTAAGAATTACCCGTCGGGTGTGGGCACGGAATGATTTTTCTACCCGCCTGCGGGTACGGGTAACCCGACGGGTAAGATTTTGATCTGGCGGGTGCGGGTACGGGTGGCCAGTACCCATCGGGTATGTACCCGTTGCCATCTTTAGTAGTAGTTCTCATAGTAGAACTGGTCAGAAACTGTAATCGAATAAGTTGTGGGGGAGCCCCCGAGTGAACAGTCTTTTGTATTTATGAATACATTAGTCCTTTTCATGATGAAATCACTTTGTAAGTGATGAATTTGTGCAAAAAATAAACACGTTTCAACTTTTGTTACGGCAAACAGCTTTTCAGCTCTTCTCCCTCTTTTTGTAGAAGAGGTACGGTGCCTTTCGACCCTTCCCATAGTTAAGGTCGCAAAAAACTTGGAGTGCGGGCGAATCAATTTTGATCACGCTGGTGAGCAAGGAGGCCATAGCTGTTGGGGCATGGGTTTCCCGCAGTCCTACCAGTTATACTCAGATTTTGTTCCCGAAATCCTAGCCCTTAGGACTTGCCATGAGAAAAGAGGAAAAACTCAAAGAATGTTTGCAAAGATAACATAGAGAGTATTTGCAAGATAAACGTACTTATATCAGCCCCCGAGTGAGGTTCGACCCCTCGCAATTTGTAGGGGTCGGATGTCACTCAAGATCGAGGATTTTTTAAGACAAAAACTGATAAGAAAAAGTATGTGTTTATTTAAGGGTAAAAACGACGTAGCTGCTCAATGTTCTAGGCGTTGGTGAAGACCTCGCCATCGATAGTTTTTAACTTGTAGGCGCCTGACCGGAGTACTTCCGCGACGACGTATGGCCCTTCCCAGGGCGGGGAGAGCTTGTGATGGTCCTTGTTGCTCTGCACGAGGCGGAGAACCAGGTCCCCGACGTTGAAGGCTCGGTCCCACACCCGTCGGTTGTGGTACTGACGTAGGGCCTGCTGGTACTTGGCCGAACGGAGGAGGGCGATGTCGCGAGCTTCGTCTAGCTGGTCCATGGCATCTTGGTGGGATGTCTCGGCTCCCTGTTCGTCGTATGCTCTGATTCTTGGCGCTCCATAGTCGAGGTCGGTTGGGAGGACGGCCTCGGAACCGTAGACCATGAAGAAAGGCGTGTAGCCGGTGGCCCATCTGGGAGTTGTCCTTAGGCTCCAGAGCACCGTAGGGAGCTCGGCGACCCAGCATGCGCCAAACTTGTTCAACCGGTTGAAGATCCTGGGCTTGAGGCCCTGTAGGAGCATGCCGTTTGCGCGCTCGACCTGCCCATTCATTCGGGGGTGCGCGACGACGACCCAATCGACCTGGATGTGTTGTTTTGTTTTGTTTTGATGACAACAGAAGACGAGTGTTTTGTTTTGTTTTGTTTTGTTTTGGGTTTGTCGGGGCACCCGGAGACAGTTCCAATTCCAATTCCAACAAAGGCGAGAAGCCAAATTAGGCCGGCCCTGTGCTGTGCACCCTATGTCTATGGCCCAGCACGTGAGAGGCCCAACAAAGGCGAGAGCCCAAGTTCGGCCCAGCCCTCGCTGATTCACACGTCACTCGAGGAGGCGAGGGGGGGAATCTGACCTCTCCACAGTCGTCCACCCTTTGACCCTTCTCTCCGGGGGCCGGGGGGCATTGCTCATCAGCGCCGGCCGCCGCCGCCGCCCGCCGCCCGCCGGAGTATGGCTCGGAGGGGGGTATCGTACGTGTCGGCGACGCAGCTGGTTTCCATGGCCAGCGACGCCCGCGTCGCCATCGTCGACGTCAGGGACGAGGAGAGGGGCTACGACGGCCACATCGCGGGGTCCCACCACTACGCCAGCGACACCTTCGCGGAGCGGATGCCCGAGCTCGCCCAGGCAACCGGTGCCAAGGAAACCCTCGTCTTCCACTGCGCCCTCAGCAAGGTGAAGGCATCCTCCCCGCGTCCCTGCTTTGTTTCTCCCTCCGTTCCTGTATGCAGCAGCCGAGCGGCTAGCGTCACTTGCAAACTTGTACTAGGAGTAATAACAAGTTGAAAAAGGTTAGGTCCTGGGGAGGGGATTTCCCTGCGCTCCATGTAATCACTCATTGGTAGAGTGGAACAAGCTGCTGATACTGGTTCGATTTAGCTCTTCTATGGTACTGCCCTGATTCAAGACCCCCAACACTGCAATTTTCAATGCTATATATAAAGGAAACCTTTGGGTGGACTTCATGATGAAATCTAATGAAGATACCACTTTCCATCAGGTTTCTATTTCACATGTTTATTTACTACTACTACAAATCTATTGTTCCAACCATGTTCACAGTTACTAGTACAACATCAGAGTTACCATTGATCTATCCTTGATTAATTACAACGTCAGGGCCTGTGACCCATTTGTCTGATTGCTTGTTTTGACTGAATCAATAATCCTGAGCCAGAGTTTTTTCTTATTATTAAAGCAAAGTCTATAACCTAGCATTTCTTAGTGCATGTAACAGTGTCCGAGAACTCTACGCCATAAAACCAACAAGGCTTCTTTTTTTGCTTGGTATATAAGTAGGATTAATGCACGCCATGAATCCATCCGTCCTTTAAATTCCACATGTTATATGACCTGCGTTCTTCAATCTCAAGAGTCACTGCTATTGTTCTTTTTAACATGTTCCTTCATAGCAGGTTCGGGGCCCATCTTGTGCACAGCTGTTCCATGACTATCTTTCAGAGGCTAAGGAAGATTCAGGGGTAAAGAACATCATGGTCCTAGAACGTGGGTTTAATGGATGGGAGCTTTCAGGGAGGCCCGTTTGCCGCTGCAAGGACACTCCATGCAAGGGTGTATGCTCTTGAGTATCTAAGATACTGTATGTGAACTCAAGGCAGATGTTGCTCTATGCTTCGAGAAATTGATCCTATCAACAGGCTAGATTGATAAAAAATGACATGCCTCCATGTCCGTTGGATGGATCAACAATGACACCACGTGAATTGTTCCAATGAATAACAAATTAATGCCACCTTACGGCATGTAAACTGTAAACGGCATTTGGAATGCTTGGAAATGTTTAGTTTCCATCAACCTATGTGCATTCACATCTTTTCTATTGGCTTTCATTCATGTTCTCCGCAACAAGCATGCATATTTCTACCCTTTGTCACAATTGTGTTCCAGTTACTCTTTGTGGATATTCACGAAGAGATTTCATTGTGGTTGCCAAAGTAACGTGGCGAAAAAAAGTTGGCCACATTGATCCCTTTTGCCTGGATAAATCTGCAGTATGTTCATTCTCACTACATTTTTGCCACAATTTTTCCTTGGTGCTATCAGGCATGTTCGACTAGCTCAAATATGGATTCTGCTCACATAGACCCTGAATCGACAACAATGTGTATCTTACATATGAGCTCATTCTTTGGCTCCAACACTGCTGCGGTAATGTCTGACATAGTCTGCTGGCGAACACTGAGGTGTTTACTTTAGGTGTTGCCTCTGGTCGGACTTCAGTAGTAGTACTAATTTTTCTGCTGTATTTCTGGAGGCGTGTAAAATATGAACTGTCGATACTTGCGCTGTTGAGATGATATATATCATGGTTGAGATAATGGTTACAGACGGCCCATGTATAGGAAACGATAAACCAGATCTTTTCTTTCAATCATTCAGATGCCTATTTGTGCTGAATTTCCAGAAAACAGCCAAAACATGAATTTTTCATCTGAACAATTTTTGCTACAGAAAGGTGCCAAGAATAGATCTTAGTAATGTTTCGCTTTTCTTTTAATAGGCTAGAGTGCTCATGATTATTCTACAATCCATACATTCTTTGACATCATTCTATTTACAGAAGAATTGAAGTAGCATACCAATACCAAGTTGGAACAGCCCGGCAGCTATACAGGTGTACAACCAGGAAAAAAAACCTGTAAAACAATAAGATCTATGTTCTTTCTATGGCAAGAAAAGCAAAAAGCCTGTAATACAATAAGATCTATGTTCTTCCCACTTCTCAAAAGAATAAATAAATGTGTAAAAAAAATTCCCTGTGCATACAGAGTTGGTCAACTCGTCAACCGAGATTGGGATCTCCAGTTAGGCATTAACCAAACAACAAGCCAATGAAGGTTGAGCTAGCATCTCATATTCCCATTGACTAACTGAAAGTTGGGATCTCTGGCACGAGATCAATATTCTAAGTTTCTGGATTAGAAAAATCCATGTCAGAAGTAGAGCTCTGGTTTGAGATCGACATTCTGAATTTCTGGCGAGAAAAAACCATGTCAGAGATGGATCTCAGGCTTAAGTCTCGACTCAATGTCGATGTTGTCAGCCAGGGTGGCATGCTGTGAACTGCAGAGTGCAGACCATGGGTGCACAGCTGGAACAGATTATACAAAACTGACATTTTCTGGTTTTCACCTCCTCCAGGATCCAACATATCTCCTCCATTGAGACTGGTCCAGCAAAACCTCAAGCTCCCTCAACACTTGCCATGTAGCATCTCCCACTTCCATCGGACGATTGAAAATTAGAGCCTTACGCTTCACTGGATCCCACAAATTCTTCTGAATCACAGTCAAATTGGTTGCCACGACATGGTCAAGCACCATCTCAAGATTGGCTATGTCCTTCTCAGCCACCTGCAATGAGATCTCCGGCCACTGGAGGACTGAAGGGAACGGCAGACGTATGTTATCAGCAATTATAACAGGAATGCAGCCTAGGAGGACTGATTCCACAAGCCGAGGACTCCAAGGCGCCCATCCCAGCGGACAGAGACAGAACAACGACCGAGCCATCTCAGATCGGTAGTTGTCAAATCGCTTTCTTTTAATGTAGAACTTGCGATTGCGACCATAATGTTGTAGAAGCTCAGTCCTCACCTTCCTGTTACAAGAAGTTATTTTTAGTCATATCTAGTTTATGTTAAGATACTGTTATGTTATTCATAGGTAGAAGCATTGACCAAAAAATTAACTATTATGGATAATGAAGCAGAACCTAGGAATGACCCCATAATCACTTCCCTTACAAATCATCATGGATAATTGCTAGATGAAGTGACTAAACGAGAAGCAAGGGCTTTCAGTATATGCTTACTTGCTGTAGAAGCGGCCACTAATGTTCTTGGGGTGCACCTCCATCTTGCCTCGAAAGAAGGCAAAAATGTCCCTCTGAGCCTTCTCTGGCTCCGGTAGTTCATGAGCCACCTCCGGCGGCACATGAGGTGGGATCACAACATGCTCCACCTCCTGACATACGTGATGGCCTTGGACACCAAATGTCTGTAGCAGGATGGACCTCTTCAGGAACTCTGGTATGCCGTCGGCGATGGCTACATCCTCCTAATTAAAAATAAGGAACTTTTTAAGTGAACAGGAAGTTCCCTTAAATAAGCAGGATTGGTAAGGTGTGCTCAATCAGTTATTAAATTCTAAACTGAGCTGTGAGCTCCATTGTGACAGCACAAGGTGAATTCGAAGTATCTGGGGTGGGAAATTAGATGGCCTAAGCTCAATTTGGCAAGAATTAAATGAACTGTATCTGGTATGGATTCAGAACTAGGTGAGCTGCATGCCTGCATTCCACAGTGCTCAATCCCAGTGACGACTGGCTGTTGTATGCCATTTCCAAGCCAGAGCGCAAGCAAATTAGTAGTACTAAACTTGTTACTTACAATCTCCTATTTACACGCAAGAGATTTAGATGCGCAAGCAGCACGCAAGTACGCAACCAACCAAGCACCGCAACAAACTGAGCCCAGAAAAAGTCGGGAGTTTTTCGCCGGACACGCTCACCATTGGATGGAAGCAGGCGCCGAAGTCGTGGGAGGCGACGAAGACGTGGTCGGCCCCGGCGGAGCGGTTCCAGTACGGCATCCGGGCCCGGACGAGGTCGACGGCCTCGGCAAGCAGGCCCCGGGCGTGCGACAGCGAGGGGAAGCCGTTGGGCGTGGAGAAGTTGCAGGAGACGTAGACGGGGACGAAGAAGAGGTCAGCGTCCTCGGGCCGCGCGGCGCGGCTGGCGTAGGCCAGCAGCGCTTCGTGCACCGCCACCTCGGCCGCGAAGAGGTGGCGTGCGCACCGCGCGTCGGCGGCCGCCCAGTCGCGGTTGAAGCGGGCGGGGAGGTCGTAGACGTAGATCCGGACGCGGGGCGCGGCTGCTGCGCCGGTCCCGGTGCCGGTGGCGGCGAGGGCGCGGGGCTTGGAGCGGAGGAAGGAGGAGTGGCGGAGCGGCGCGGCGGCGGGCGGCGTGGCGGAGAGGAAGAGGGCGAGGGAGAGAGCGAACCAGAGCAGGAGGAGGAGCCATGTGGAGTGCTTCCGCAGCTTAGCGGCGAGGGTGGGGGCTGCTGGGCTTCTCCTCGGCTTGGGATCTCTCATGGCGGAGGCGCGCGGGTGAACGGACACGGAGCTCAACGCCGAAACCCCCTCCCTGGTCTCTGCTACGCTTTTGCTTGGCTTCGGGGCATCATGACTTTTTTTCACAGCTTGCTGGTTCGGCTGCTGTGCTGTGCTGCCCGCTGGGCTGCTTCTCGAGTCTCAAGTAACCTTTTCGCCTTCCTTGCTCTCCTCTCCTTGGAGTAGGAGTGTATTTCTTGTCAAGCCAGCGTTTTTCCGTTACTACTACTATTATTACTTCTGCTCATCTCTTTCTTATTCCGAGATGGGAACAGAATAAACAATGTACTTTTTTTATATCTTATTAGGTGGTTGATTTTTCTTAGTATAAAACACCACTCTTCCAAATTATAAGTCGGTTTTAACTTTTTTTTCTCATTCATTTTGCTATGTATCAATATATAACTTATGAATTTTTCTTTTAATTTTCTAGTTAGTTGTCAAAGACTAGTCTCGAAACTTAGACACCTATAAATATAACAACTTTTTTTGAAAAACAATACTACTTAGAGCAACTCAACAAACTCTTTATATCATTTTTAATTTACAAGAAAAAGAATTTTGATAAAAAAAACACACTCCGACAACTTCTTTAATGGGATTTTCAAATATAGACATCACCTATTTTGGATTTCTCGCAAGTCAAAGATGGAGAGCGAAAATGACACTCTTGAATGTGCACAAAATATAGAAAAGTTGTTGAAGGGTACAAAGACATAGAGCAATTTTTACTCAAAATACTCTCTAAATAATAATTTAGAAAGTAATTTTTGAAACGACTCTTGGAGACGCTCTTAGTTACTCGTCTCGTTTGCAAGGAGCACGCCCTTTGACAACCTCGCTGACCCCTAGATTGGGTAGTGTCATAGTAGCGTATATATTTCAGTTCAAGTACGGTATGTAAGGTATGCAAGAGGGGTTAGGGCTTGTTTGGTTGGTGACCAGCCACGTTAAGTTAATCTTTTTGACTGTAGGGGCCACAAGTGGGGCTTCGATTTTAGCTTTCTGTGGTTTTAAGTTTTTAAAATTTATTTGAATTCCAAAAAAATGGTGAACATTTCACATTCATAGGAAGGTCTCAGCCCTTGCTCGCCACACCCCCCCCCCCCCCCGTCTCCGCCCATCTATGCAAATCTCTCTAAACGTTAGATGGAAACTCCAATCCACTTAGCATCCTAGACTTTTTCTAGACTAGCAATATGTGGGCATGCTATTTTAATTAGTCACTTAGTTCTCCTTCTCCGTATGGAGCTTTCTGTCTCTAGATTTTTCTTCCTCTTATTGTAAGTGATATGAAACATATGTCTAGATCACTTCTAGATGTGAGATTTCAGTCTACGAGGAGAGAGCGTAATGAAATCGTACATGAGCTTACGCACTTGGCGAACATACGCCACATTTAGCAGTGTGGCGTGCGCAAGTTCCCAGTAAATGGAGTCCTTGATTGCAAAAGAATGTAGCATGTTTATTGGGTAAAAAATATAACTCTCCCCTTTTCGCAAAAAAAAGTGCTATTTGGATTTCGTATTTTTTTTAGAATTACATAATACAACGTAGACGCTCATAATACACACGCACACTCACCTCTATGAATACACGTACGCAACCCTACCCCTATGAGCACCTCCAAAGCACCGAGCCAGCAGATCTTGAAATTCACGAAGTCGTCATAGGCGCCTCGCTGTCGACGGAGACGTTACCTATGGATTTCGTATTTTTCAAGTATATGAACAAACATTAATCAGGGTCATTTCTATTTCAATTTTTTTTCTTGCTAACCAAACAGAACCATCAATTGGAGCATGTTTTACCCGTACACTGATTTGAGTTTAACACATGTCTTTATATACCGATTATATAATGCATATGTAGGTTCCCTCTCCACATCGGTAACCAATTTAATTTTATGGGATGCTCAGAACCACATACGTACTATTCAATTCTCCTCTAGAAAAAAGGACAAGCAAAACTTAAAACGTCACGTGATAAAAAGGAGGTTAGAGCGTCAGATCTCTTATATTACATTTTCTATAAATTATTTTAGGAGAGTATCTTAAAGTCAATTTAGAATATAAGAGAGAAGTGTTGTAATAGATTAGCAACTTCAAGAGATTCTATATATCCTTTCTAAATGTTAGGAATAGAGATTTTGATGAAAAGTTACCCCAACAGCTTGTCTAAATAGTTATGCAAATATAGCCATCTTCTATTTTGGATTTTTCGTGCAAAAATAGAAGATGAGAATGACTCTCTAGAGTATGCACGAGATATATAAAAGTTATTGGAGAGTGAAAAGATAAAGAAAGCGATTTTTTATGAAAATGACTCTTCAAATGATGATTTAGAGAGTGAGATTTAGAAAGACTCTTTTGGAGTTGCTCTAAAAATTGACCGCTATATTTCTTAGGGATAGAAGAGCCGGAGTTGTCTTTTTTATTTTAGGAGATTACTTGAGGCTTCTTTTAGAAGATCTTAAAAAATTATAGGTACAAGAAATGAGATAGGAGCAACACCTACATCTTCTATTCTTAGATATAAGAGATGGGATATAATCTACAATACTAATACGCCTGTTTATGATATTGTACCAAAGAACCTTAGCCTTTCCATGACCATTTCATAAAAGTACAACTTTAGCCACACGTGTGAGGCCAGCAGAGCCCTCGAGAAACATTGATCCTTAGGCCTCGTTTAGTTCCACCAAATGCAAAAAGAAGATTCTCCGTCATATCAAACTTGTGGTACATGCATGAAGTACTAAATATTAATAAAATCAAAAACTAATTACACAGTTTGGTTGTACTTTTCGAGACGAACGTTTTAAGCATAATTAGTCAACGATTAGACAATTATTACCAAATAAAAACAAATCTAGCTACAGTGATTTTGTCGGCGCCGAATCGGCGGAACTAAACGTGGCCTACTTAGATACACTTGTGTGATACAAGATGCATGGCGAAGCTGAATTATCAATTCCACTTCCACATCGCACCCCATTTTCTGCTTAGAGACGGACGGTCGATCTCCTGACACGTGCGGCTTCACGGACGGTCCGATGCGACGCGCGCCGGGGAGCCCAGCGTACCGCGTACGTGACCCGTCGCCGTCCGATCGCTTTGACGCTGCGTGAAGAGGAACCGAAGAACGGGTCAAAAGGCTATAAACCAGGGTGGGCCCACTCGATTTAGCCAAAGCCAAAACCACCGCGGCCCACGTCACGGGGTCAGAGCCTCGCGTGGGCGCCGTGCATAGACCGTTGTCCCCTCCCCGTCCCCGCACCCGCAGCGCGGAACGCGGCGTGGCCCACGACCACGAGGGGCCACACGGCATGGGCTTAATAGACCGGGTCCACGCAACGCCCCCCACTCCTCTCCTGCCCCGCCCGCCCGTCCCCGTCGTCCCTCCCCTCTCCGTCGTCCACCGCTGCTGCCACTGCGAGCTCGGCTCGGCCCCGTCTCGGCTCGTCTCGCGAGATATTTCTACGGGACGGGACGGCACCCGCGTTGCCTCCGCCTCGCCGTCCCGCGCGCACCAGCCCGGCCGGGGGAAGCCATGAACTGCCTCCAGAACCTGCTCAAGTAAGCGCCCCCTCCCCACCCCGTCTCCCTCCCTCCCTCCTCGATTCGCTTCTGTTCGTCCTCCGGTTACGCGCTCGCCTGCCCCGCGCCGCTCATGGATTTTCCTCCAGGGAGCCTCCAATCGTGGGATCCAGGTCGATGAGGCGGCCCTCTCCACTTAATCTGGTGAGGCTTCGGACCTATCCATCCGTGTGTTTCTGTGGACATTCTGTTATGTTTTGTCTCAATCTGATTTCGTTGTCTCTGGGCGGTTAGGCGATGGTTCGCGGCGGCAGTCGCCGATCAAACACCGTCAAAACTGTAAGCCTTAACGCCACCTCGTCATTTCTGATTTCATTCCGACAACGGAAATCTTATCCTCAGACTGAGGATAAGGTATCTCGATAGAGGCTGGCAGGCTACAATGGCTGAATCGCCGGTTACTCTTCCTGTCAGTGATAGTGTCGTTTCGTTACCTCGTTGACGACCCTCGGCTGTTGAATCAACGTTGTGGGTTGCCAGTTGCAGGCACCAGGGGCGTCCACTTCCGGTGCCGAGAGCAGCGCCGTGGAGATGGGCACCGAGAAGTCTGAAGTGTACACCACTAACATGACGCAGGCTATGGGGGCAGGTAAAGAGAATGTCTGCTTCTGCGTGTGCTGCTTGTAGTGTTAGGCCTTGTTAGCCCTTGTTTAGTTGGACCCCAAATTCCAAAAAGTCGGCCTGTGCATGGAGCATTAAATGTAGACGAAAAAAAAAACTAATTGCACAGTTTAGTGTGAAATTGCGAGACGAACGTTTTGAGCCTAATTAATCCATGATTGAACACTATTTGCCAAATAAAAACGAACGTGCTACAGTTGCCCCAAAATCCAACTTTGGGGAACTAAACGCGCGCTTAGACGCTAACTGTCTTATCACATTTTGGGCAAATTGATTGCTGACTTGATGAATTTATAGCCGGGAAATAAAATATTTCCTAGACTCCTACGTGTGTCACAATCAGAGTGTTGAGCTGTCACAATCAGAGTGTTGAGCTGTCATTTGGCAATTAGTGTTCAATCATGGACTAATTAGACTCAAAACGCTCGTCTCGCGATTTCCAACCAAACTGTGCAAAAAAAAATTTCGTCTACATTTAATGATCCATGCACGTATCGCAAGATTCGATGTGTACTGCAGCACTTTTGGGGAAACTTTTTGGGAACTAAACACAGCCTCACTCTCCATTCCAGTCTGACAGTTTCCTTTCCGTCTGCTTCCTGGATTCGAACACATTTTGGCGATTATGAACAGTTGTTCCTGAATGTTTAACTTTTACCATGTCCAGTCTGCCAAAACCTGATCCTGCGATAGTGCTTCACATGTAGTTTTGTTGCAATAACAATTGTGTTCCCACTTCATGCTTCAACATTGTGCTTGCCA